AAAGACAATTATTAATGCGTTGATCAACAATTTTATTTATAAAAGAGTTACCCTAATTCCATTATTAAATTGTTGCTTAGACTTTAAATATGTTTATTATTAAAACAAAGTTTAATGAAAGTAAAATTTTAGGGGGTTTATATCCCATTTATATGGATGTTCTTTATAGGGGTCAGAAATATTTTTTAACATTCACAAAAAATGACAAAATACAATTATTTAATTAACAATTATTTTTATATAATAGTTGCCCTAATTTCCATATTAAATTGTTGCTTAGACTTTAAATATTTTTATTATTAAAACAAAGTTTAATGAAAGTACAATTTTAGGGGGTTTCTATCCCATTTATATGGATGCTCTTGATAGGGGTCAGAAATAATTTTTAACATTCCCAAAAACCGACAAAAGACAATTTTGTTTTGACGCATTGATCAACAATTTTTTCTTTTTTTTTTTTATTTTTTATATAAAAGAGTTGTCCTCTAATTCCAGTATTGGATTACTTACACTTTAAATATTTTTATTACTATAATACAAAGTTTAACAAGCGTAAAATTGTATTTCAAGTTAAAATCGCGTTTATACTCAGTCTTTTAAAGAATTTGGCTCGACGTTAGAAAAACGGGGAATGAATTTATCGTCGTTCTTTCATTGCCTGATTATACGCGCCATATTCTCTTTTCTTTTTGCCAATATTTTTAGCTCGCTTCAAGGGTAAAGAGTAAGAAGTTTGAAAATGTAGCAAGAAAGTGTATAGTAGAATAAGTGTGTTAGATAATTCTAAGTACCTAATATCATATCATCTATCTAAGTTTCTAGGTCTTTTCCAGATCAGGAATACTAATTTTTTTTTTTTTTTTGATGACAAAGTTTCTTGGAAATGGGGCACGTGTGTTCTGAAATTCAAATGAACCATCACACACAACACTCTCAAAAGTTTCATACAACTTCATTGGGTAGATTAAACTTTCTAAATGCAATCGTCCTTAACACGTTTTACATTTATTGTTCAATCATCGATATTTGATCAATGAATCAAATTTTAAATTGGACTAACGTGAAGGTGTAGAAAAAAAAAAAAAAAAATAAAACAAAATGACAAAACGAACAATTTATTCATCTTTTAATTATAACGATTCACGGTATTTTTAACAGATCGGGGGGAGGGAGGGGAATCGTTTTACGTATATCACCGTGTGTTAAACTTGAGAATTTCCATCGAGTTCGATTTCAACGAAGCTCGTATTACGTCACTTTTCAAAAGTAGGGGAATAAACGTGTGACGAAGGCTACAATTATAATCATAAAAGCCTGCTTGGTTATCGGTTATCCTTTCACCTCCGATCGTTAACCCGAAATCGGAGAACGAAAAGGCGTCTGTCTCTCGAGCGCGTTAGAAAGGGATCGCCATCGCCATCGCCATCCTGATTTCATAACACAACGTTGGTTATTGCGATATAGTAATGAAATATTCTTTTTTTTTTTTTTTTCTAATTAAAAAGGAACGGTGTGGAAAATGATCATCGATGCACGACCAAGAATTTCGCGATTGGCTAGTTCGCGAAAAAATTCAAACCCCCTCCCCCATCCCTATCTTCATTCTCACCAAGCAACGATTGTTCAGTATTTGCACAATGTTCTAATAAACTCGTACAACTCTGTAGAGTTAACAGGTTTTTGTATTTTTTTTTTTTTTTTTTGGAAGGTCTAGTAATATAATCCTTTTATGAAAGTGTCTCGATTGAAAAGGGTTATGCATTTGATTTTCTGCAATCTGCAATCATGCGCAACGTCGTC